TATAAGGGGGCGGTTATGTTTTATTATAATTAATAATCAAATGCAATAATAAGATTTAATAAAGTTGGAAAAATTGTGGTCCACGTGTGACAGAAGGTTAAGTTCAATATCCGGTTGTCAATTGCCATCTGAATTTTAACAAAAGTCCAATGCCTCGCCTGATTTGATAATTTATGTTATGTAATTAAGTGAAGATTAGACTATTTTTTTTTAAAAGAATTTTATAATTTAAATTATTTTAAATTAAAAAATATAAATTATTTGATCATAAAGTGTTCTTTATATTAGAGAATCATCTTTCATTAAACAGATGTTAAAAAAGTTTTTCTTTTTAAGATTGTACATAATTTGATTTTTAATTAATTAAAATTTAATATGATTATTAAATATCAAAATCAATATAAAAAAGAATTTTGTTCATTAAATATTTTTATTTTATAATTTAAAATAATTTAAATAATAAAATAAAAAATCCCATATTTTTTATTTTAACAATTAAAGTGAGCACATCTGCAATCTAATGTATGAACTTTCAAGTTTCAAGCAAGAGGGAAGAGGTTCCCACGGGCTCAATTGTGTCTTGCCCGGTTCTGTACACAATTTATTTATTTAAAAAAAGTTGAAATAGTCTTTGTCAAACTTAGGGAGTGGCCACTCAATTGGAATCCCACACGCACACGCATTAAATTGGGAAATGGATCAGTCCTTCGGGTGGGGACGGACGGCTCCTTTTTCTGACTTTTTTTTCTATCTATAATTATATTTTATAGGAAACGAGGACAGACGGCATAACATCGACCGTGGATGTGGACTGGCATAACATCGACCGTGGATGTGGACTGGCATTTTTTATGTTGGGATATTTTTTATTTAATAATTTTTATTTTATTTTATTACGTGAATGGTGAAAATAAAAAATTTTATGAAAAAAAGTGTTTTACGAAATATTTTTATAATTTTTTAAATAAAATATTATATTTTAATTAATATTTTAAAAATTAATAATTAAATTAACAGTTTTTTAATATAAATCTCACATGTTTATGGTTAATTAATCCGTTAATTATATAAAATTTAATATAGTTAAATATATGTTAATAAATATAATTTCTTCAATTAATGGATTATATATGTTAATTTGAAAATTAAGATGT